GACCGCGGATTTCTTTCGGAACCAGATCGGAAGCGCTACGGCCATATTCCCGATCGCGATCATCTCAGCACGTTTGTCGTCGGAGACGTCTGTCGTCCTGGAAAACCCAGCTGGCTCTACGCCGTGGTCCGCGCCTCGCGTCCGCGCCCTAAGCAGCAACGGCCGCAGCTCACGAGTCATCTTGGACTACTGCCAGCGCGGTGCCGCATTTCGTAAACGGACTCGACTGCAGGCGCGGCGCGTCGGTGATATCAGCGACCTTCGGCGCTCATGCTCAGGGCGGCAAGGGTGATGTTCGAGAACTGGCAGGCCACGCGTGGTTTTGGAGGGCTCCACGATGACGGCAGCGGCGGCCGCCTGCCCAGCATCCTTCGCGAGGAGCGCTGCTGCCGCGTTGTTCAATTCAGTGCAGCGTGCAAGTCTCGAGCTCGTGTGGAGCGCACTTTCATCCTGAAAGGTTTTTGTGGTGGCGGCGGAGCCAGATCATACTATGCGTGTAATGGATGGGTTTCGCTGTTTCAGATTCCTCGCCGTGGCAGTTGTCTCATCGCGCCTGTGCTCGTGGCCGCTGCGAAGGGCTCGGATCTAGCTTGCGCAGAACAGTTGGCGACTCTGGAGACCCAAGAGGCCCACAGAGGATAGTAGTTCTATGAAAGGGCACCCCGAGTAATGCGCGAGGGTTTCCGCCATCGCTCGGCTGAGCTGCATCCGGTCCGATGCTCATTGTGCTCATGTCTCCCCCTTCCCACCCCCCTTGCCTTTCGATTTTCTACACCGTAACTTTGCAGTGTGATGGGCTTCGCTGTTTCAGATTCCTCGCCAAGATAGTTGTCTCATCGTGCCTGTGCTCGTGGCCGCTGCGAAGAGCTCGGATCTAGCTTGCGCAGAAAAACATTGGCTACTTTGGAGACCCAAAAGGCCCACGGAGGATGTCTATCCCCATCCCTATCGGCATTCCTATCCACATCCCTGCCCGTATCTCTTTCCCTCTCCCTATTTCTATTCCTACCCCTGTCCCTCTGCCTCTATCCCAATTCCTATGCCTATCCCTACCTCTGTTCCGCATTCCTGCCCCATCCCCATCGCGATCCCCATCCCTAGATCCTTATCCCTGTGCGCCTATCCCAAAGAGCGCGTTCTGTGCATGCCACGCTGGGAAGGGGGGTCGAACCGCCCGCCCCCGAAATGCAAGTGGGGGTGGTCGAGCTCAGGGGCCCTGTCCCCCGAATTGTCGCAGGGGAGGGGGGTCCCCCCTCCCCAGTGGCAGCCGAGGACGGCCAGCGCTGGCGCTGGCGCCGGCGCCGTAGGGCAACGACGGCGCCGACGACCGAGCCTTGGGAGGATGCAAGTAGGCTGGGTAGGGCCCCAGTCAGATCCTTTTAGAGTTGGATCGGGCCCCAGTAGGATTCAAATAGAACTGGATGTAGCTACGTAGCACCCCGCATCTGTCGATAAGAGTGAGGGGTGGAGGCGCGGGCGACGCCAGACACCCCCAAACGTGGCCCCAAAACGTGTCCCCCAAGTGTGGCCCCCAGAGGTGGCCCCCAGCCGTGGCCCCCAGACGTGGCCCCCCAACGTGGCGCTTCAACGTGGCCCCCAGACGTGGCCCCCAGACGTGGCCCCCAAACGTGGCTCCCAAACGTGCCCCACGCCAACTGCCTGGATCCAGCCACGCGCGCGCAGGGAGAATGTAAGACCATTCGGGTTCCCTCATTCGATAGTCGGATTCGAATTGGGATGGATCGAGCCTCAGCAGGATTCAATGAGAGCTGGGCCCAACTAGAGTAGGATTCTATTGGAGTTGGGCCGAGCCCGACTAGGATGCTAGTAAAGTTGGATCCAGTTTCAGTGGGGTTCAATCAGAGTTGGACCAAGCCCGAGTAGGGTTCGACACGAAATGGATCCAGCCATAACCGGTCTCTTTTAGAGCTGGATCGAACCCGACTGAGATGATCTTGTAGTTAGATCCAGCTATAGTTGGGTTCTAGTAGAGCTTGATCGAGCCCGACTAGGATGCTATCAAGGGCAGAAGGCGGGGGTGGTTCGGATCGAAACCCCTCCCCCCTTGGAAAAGAAGGGGCCGGCCCCTGTTAGAGAGGCCAGTGTCCGGGTGTGTGTGGGGGGGGCTGTTCTCCAGGCGCCTCGAATGTTTTCGGGGGGGGGGCGGGTCTGGTGTGGCCAGGGATTTCTGTCCAAGAAAGCGTCCACGAAATGGGCTCTCTCGCCTACCCTTATCCCTATCCCTATCCCGATCCCTTCATCGTGGCCCCGCATCGTGGCTCCCCATCATGACTCCCCCATCGTGGCCCCCATAGTGATTGTGTAAAGCTCTTCAGTGTCCTCTGCCTTGAGGGTTGCATTCCATGTCTTTGGTTCCTCCTCACTGCCATCCTTCTTTGCTTCCCCTTTTTGGCGCTCCTCCCTTGCCTTCAGCGTTGGGAGGCCCTCGTAGGGCCTTTCAGCTCGGCGCCACCTTCACTATCGTTCGCAGTCTTTGGGGGCCTGTCTCGGCCGCCTCACTATCGTCCGCAGCCTTCGGAGCAGGGCCCCGTGGTGCTCCCCGATGGTTGGACTGCTCGGCCACGGTCGTCTAAGCTTTCAACAAGTCCGCCCCTTCCTTTCGACTCCTCTGCCTCGGTTTCGTCCTCATGTCTTCTCGTGGAGTCCAGCTGCGCTCCCTGCTTCGACCCCCTTTTTCTCCCTGTCTTACCTCTGCCGGCCTGGCCTTGGGCTTCAGCACCTCCACCCTCGCGGCGTGCACTCCACGCTCAGGATTGCAGCCACCTGCTCGAGCAGTTCCTTCTCTGCCCTTTCCCAGACAGTGGTGTAGTGTAGCAGACCCACCGGCCCCACGTCGCGGCCTTCGGTTTGGACTCCCGTAGGCTCGGCCGCGACCCTGCAGATTGTAGGAATCGTGGCCCTGCATCCTGTCGCAGGGAGGCATAGAGCGTAGAACTGTCGCCAGACTCTGCGAGCGCCTCTGTCCTTTGTCCTGGAGTCACTCGTTTTGATGGCTTTCTTCTGCCTCTGCCGCGTCTGACGACCGAACGACGGTCGGTCGGATCGACCGACCGACCGACGACGACCGACGATGAGGACGGACGCCGTTTTAAAGTTCTAGAGGGCCATATCTAAAAGGCCGCGACGGGCCGAGGTCAATTTCCAGAACGCGCGGGCCGGGTACAATTTAAAAAAGGGAGCGCTTCGAGGACGCGGCCCCCGCTCCCCCTTTCCCCCCAACCCTGGATACGGGGGATCGGCTTTGAGTGATGTCTAAGGGAGGGGCGGTTGCAGGCGAATGTGCCACCTCGGGCTCCGAATCCAGGAAAACCTATGGTTCTGAGACCACCCGCTGGGGCCGAATGAACCCGAATGAGCCCGAATGAGCCGCGAACGAACCCCCGAATGTACCAGAAAGCACTTCCGATTGAACCCTCCCCAGCGCCCCAGCCGGACCCCGATTCGCTCCCCCAGACGTCGTCGTCGTTGTTAGTCGGCCGTCGCCGTGGTTCGTCGTTGATCACCAACAATAGTCACCTGAATGGCCAGTCAGGTGGTAAATCTGCTAGTGGGAATTTTGACGAGGTGTGTCCGTCTGAAGACTATGTTCAGGCCGTGGTGGCGGCGTGGCTCGCTCTAGTTGACCACCTCACGCGGCAGCTGTTAAATCCGCCCGACCGACCGACTAGGCGACCGACCGACCGAACGACCGGCCAACGACCGACGGCGACGACCGACGAATGACAACGACGGCGACGACGACCGACCGACCGAACGAATGACCGAGCGACCCACGGCGACGACCGACAGACAACGACGACGGCAACGCCCACCGACCGACCGACCGACAGACCAACGACGACCGAACGACGATGACGACGACCGACGGACGACGACGACGACAGACCGACCGACCAATAGCGACGAACGACGACGACGAAGACAACGAAGGACGGACCGACCGACCGACCGACGACGACGACGACCGACGATAACGACGGACACCGTCGTAAAGGTCTAGAGGGCCATATCTTGAAGGCCGACGGCGACGGGCCGAGGTCAATTTCCAGAACGCGCGGGCCTGGTCAAATTCTAAAAGGAAACGCTTCGAGGACGCGCCCCCCCTGCCCCGTCCCCCCAAGAGACGGGGGATCCGCTTTGAGCAGTATACAAGGGAAGGGTGGTTGCAGGCGAATGTACCACCTCGGAGTCCAAATCCTTCAAGAACTTATGGTTGTGAGACCACCCGCTGGGGCCGAGTGAACCCGAATGAACCGCGAATGAACCCTGGAATGTACCAGAATGCGCTCCCGACTGAACCCTCCCCAGCGCCCCAGACGGACCCCGACTCGCTCCCCCAGACGTCTTAGTCGTTTTTAGTGGGCCGTCGCCGTGGTTCGTCGTTGATATGATACGTTCCATTAAACTTCACCACCAACAATAGTCACCAGACCGTAGTAATGGCTGGTGACGATGGTTGCGTGAACAAGCACAGTGTTCACTGCAGTTGCATGCCAGCGCGAGAGATGACTTGCAAACCATGAGCCATGCAAGCATTTGTTGGCATGTATCGCGCAACTTCCTACATTATGTGTGACAGTGGTAGTAGTAGTGAAACCGGTGAAGGCGACGATGGCGTTGATGTTGGGGCGGGCGGCGATGATAGAGACCAGGATGGGGCGAGCGTTCTTTTACCCCTGAGCATGCCAAGCAGAGTCCGAGCCTCAAGAGGGTGAGTTCCAACGAAGCCTGGCTGAGCAGCATGCACCCTCTGCTCGCCCGTCTCTTGGGCTACGCCGCTGGCGGTGACGGCCGTCGAACCTCGCAGCACGTGCTGTCTGCTTCCTCCCCTGCGGTGCCACAGGCAGAGCGCAGCCGCCCAGACAGGACCAGGGCGGCTGCCGAGCTCGCCTCCAAGCTGGAAAGCTCGGCGCCTTGCCGTCCCCATTTGGGCTCCAGCACTTTCTTGACTGAATTGAGCCTTCCCTTACGTTCTCGAAATGGTGGGGCGGAGCCTGGCTCTGGCGACTCTGGTGGCGCTGGCAGGGCTGGGGGTCCAGGGTGTGCAGCTCCACGCCACGCAGACGCACACTGCGCTGGCAGAGCTGGGCGCCGGTGTCTCCGCAGCCAGCCGGGTGGAGGGAGAACTCAACCCAGAAGAAAGGAAGTTGGCCCATGAGAGGGCGTTCCTGAAGGATTTCACCGTGGAGTTGGACATGGTTGCGGCCCGCGAGAAGGGCCTGCACATGGGGGTGGATCTGGACACCGACACCGACTTTACGCCGATCTCGATCGCGAAGATTCGCAAGAGCGGTCTCATCGAGATGTGGAACACACAGCACCCAGACGATGTCGTTCTCTTGGGCGACCAGATCATGCAGGTCAACGACATCCTGTGGCACCACAATTCAAAGACGTTTGCGGAGCGTATCAAGGGCCAATTCCAGGCGTCCAAGAAGGGCATTGATGGCTCCAAGGATACGCTCAAGCTATACATTTCGCGCCCCAGGAAGCAGAATGAGGGCCGAACCCAGGCGCAGCGGGACGGCCTGTACCGGACAAATTACCCGAAGGATTTCACCGTCGACATCCCTTTCGTGAGTAACGAGAGTATGGGTTGGGTGCTGAACTCAACGGCTGACGACTGGGTTCCGCCGGTCATCGAAAGTATCAGCAGCACGGGCATGGTGGCGCTTTGGAACCAGGAGCACCCTGATGCTGTGCTCTACCCCGGCGATGAGATCATCATGTCCAACGGCATCCAGTGGCACCACAACACAAAGGTTTTTAAGAAGCGCATTGAGACGATGATGCGCAGGACTATTGCAGAAGCGAATTCAACGGTGGCCATGTCTTTGCACATCCAGAGGCCCAAGTCGGTGGCCGAAGTGCTGGACAGCAGGTCGTTCGAAGAAACGTTCGAAGCCAACGTATCTGACTTCAGGGGGTCCACTGATATCGGCTGGGTCCTCCAGATGAACACTTCGGATCCCATCAACATCACCGATATTCCAAGCGGGGGTTTCCTCAGCACCTGGAATGAGAGGAATCCGACGCAGAGCCTGGCCGTTGGCGATCGTATCCTCAAGGCTGACAGCGTAGATTGGCAGAGCGACAAGGGTAACTTCGGGAACAGCCTTCTTAATCTGATGTTCACGGGGCATGGCGCCACTCTGCGCGTGCAGCGGAAGACCGAGTTCAAGTACGCCAAGGGCTGGACGGTTGAGATCCCCGCCCGCGTGGGCTGGCTCCTGGGCCTGCGCATGGACGCCAGCCACGACGAGTTCCCCGTCACGATCCAAGCGATCAAGCCTCTGAGTGCCGTTAGCATTTTCAACGAGGACAACCCCGACGACGAATTGAAGCCCGGGGACCATATCTTCATGGTCAACGACTTTCTGTGGCGCAACAACTCGCGCGAGTTCGTGCAGCACCTGGAAAAACAGTTTTCCAAGTGCAAGAAGACGGGGGTCATGCGCCTGTGGGTCCAGAGGCCCGTGGGTGTTGAGACAGAATCTGAGTCGTCGGGCTCCAGCCATCGCTACATGGATTACACTGTCGAGCTGAATGTCTCGTCGCCCCAGGCCATGGGCTGGAAACTGAACACGACCAGTGAGGGACAAGTCGTCGTCAGCGAGCTTTCAGTGGTGAAGGCAAGCGGGACAACAACTAGCATCAGCAGCTGGAACGAAAAAAACCCACTGAAGGAGATCGCGGTCGGCGACTATGTCATGCAGGTGGACAACAATCCCTGGCACAACAACACCGATATCTTCATGAAACACCTCAGCCACCAGCTTGCTGACGCCGCCAGCAGCACTGGCAAGGGTAGCGTCTTGGTACTGATGCGCAGGCCCTTTGCGACGTCCCCCGTGGTCGAGGGCGACGTGAGCATGCCCCCCCAGGGAGCCTCCCAGGTCGAAGATGACGGCGACGTGATGGGAGCCGGAGAAGACTGAGGAGCTCGACGCGCAGCTTGACTCCAAGCCGTATTGGAGCTTCTAGGAAGCGCACGGCGGCCCTTCTCAACATGTCGAGCTGTATGGAACCAGCATCGAGACCATCTGTAGCTATCCTGAGCCCTCTTGGAGCTATCCCGGACCACATTTAGCGCTGAAACCGCTCGCGGGGTACCTCTACAGACCCAGGGGAGGATTTCCCCTGATATCACGCGTCGGAGCATGAGCAAGGCCTTCCCCCAAGTAAGCAAATTCTAGACGCTTCGCGTAACCCCACCAGCCCATCCAGAAACGATGCCCAGAGGAATTGCCTCAATCAGGGAAGTGGGCAGCACACAGTGGAAGGGTCCCCCAGGGGAGGCCTCTTGGAGCGTCTTGGGGGCCTCTTGGCGGTCCCGGACGCCTCTTAGAGCGTCTTGGGTGCCTCGGAGAACTTCTTGGGGCCTCTTGGGGGTCTCTTGGGAGCCTCTTGGAGGCCTCTTGGGCGCCTGCTGGGGCCTCCTGGGCCTCCTGGGCGCCTCTTGGAGCCCTCTTGAAGTGCTCTTGGAAGCCTTGGGAGCGCTCTTGGTGCCCTCTTGGGCCATCTTGGAGCCATCTTGAAGCCTCGGATGGCCATCGGAAGCGAACCGGCGAGACAGCCAAAAGCATTGATTTTCCTAACGTGTTGGAAGGATTTTGGCCTCTTCGGGGCCTCCTGGGGGAGCTCTTTGGCCACTTGGAGCCGTCTTGGAGCGGTCTTCGGGCCTCTTGGAACATCGTGGGAGCCATCTTGAGGCATCTTGGGATCTCTTGAGCCATCTTGGAGGTCACCGGGGGCTCTCCCAGTCGCACTTGGAGTCATCTTAAGCAGTGCCTCCCCCCCGAGGAGGCCAACATGTGGCTCAAGCCTTGGTAAAATCAAAAATTTTGGCATTGTCGCCGAGGCCTCTTGGTCTGGGGCGCCTCTTGGGGCCTCTTGGGGGTCTCTTGGGAGCCTCTTGGGGGCCTCTTGGGGGCCTCTGGGGGCCTCCTGGCCACCTCTTGGGGCCCCCTTGGGGCATGCTTGGGAGCCTTGGGAGCGCTCGTGGGGCCATCTCGGAGGAGATGAAAGAAGGGGGGTTGCTTAATTAGCGCTGCCCCCCCCAAGAGGCCAAAATGGGGCGAAGACCTTAGTAAAACCAATGGTTTTGGCTTCCTCGAAGAGGCCGTTTTGGACGCTCCGACCGCTCGCGGAACGCCCCGTCCAGGTGCAGGGGAGGGGGTGGGGGGAGGGGTAAACCCCTCCCCGAAATGGGAAGAAGGGGGTGGAAGAGGAAACGCCCTAAACCACTTACGCCCAGAGGGCTGGTGGGATTGTGTGACAGGGTGACCTCCTTAACCCCTAAAACCAGAATGTAGGATTCGAAAAGGGGGGCGTGCATCCTGAACAGCCTTCCTATTCCTCCCTGCTGCTCCCCCTCCTCGCCTTTGTCTGTCCTTCCATGAGCATACCTGAACGCCATGGGCCTTCCTTGTTGGCTGCTACTGCTGTGCCCCATTAATCCCGCTGAGCCCTTAACATCATTCTGTGTGGAACTCCGATCGCTTTCATGTTCGCATTCTGTCGCCTTTTCGATGAGCGCGCCATCCGTCCATCCTCCTCCCCCCCTCGCTCTTCCCCCTCCGTGGTCGCCCAGCGGTTCAGAGCGGTGTCGTACTGGGCATGGTCTCATGCCCTGTGCACCCCCCACCGAGTGCCACCCGCAGTTCGGGCGCGCACTCAGCGAAGCCTCGCGTCGCATCATTCAACTCCCCCTCCTTTTTCTCCTGCTCTTCTCTCCCTGCCCTCTCTCCCCCCCATCTCCTCTTTGCTTGGGATCCAGCGTTCCGCCGAAGGGGAGCATCGCGAACAGCCACGACCAGAGCCCTAGACCTCATCTTTCTGTTGCATTTTCGAGCCGGATCGATGTGCGAGGGCCCTGGGGCCCGAAACATGGCGAAATTGCCCAGCGTGGAAGTATCCTACGCCAGAGTCTCAGGCCCTCTCCGCCCTCCTGCCCCCCCTCCCTCACGACGATGTCGGCGACGGCTGCGGCCCCAGGCGAACCCGCGGCTGCAAGGCCTGCGGCGCCTGAGGCGCCTCTGCAGCGAGGAGGAGGAGGAGCTGTCCGCGCAGGCGGCCGGAACTGCTCCGCTCCCAGCTGGCGCGCTCAAGAGAGGGCCTCGCTCTGGAGGGTCGGAGGAGTTGTGTTAAGTCGGGCGGGTCCCTCTACAGGAGGAGTATTCGAGAATAGTCCAAAAAAAGTCAGGGGACGATTTTTCGTGCCTGTCTGGCTACTTCTGATGATTTGGTTGATTGTTTTCATTCTTCTTCCAAAATCCGCCTTTAGGAGGACATGCCTGACCTCAGAGTTGTGCATCCCACCCCACGTTCTCTGGCCTCAGTGTCGTTTTAACCGATCCCCATCCCCATCGCTGGCGCGCTCCAGAGAGGGCCGCGCCTGCGAAGATCGAAGGAGTTGGGCATCCCACTCCGCCTTCTCCAGTTTCAGTAGCGTTTCACCGATCCCCATCCCCATCCCCATCCCGAGCCCCACCACCCCACCACCCCAGTTGGAGACATGCCCCTCGAAACCCGGAGGGAACAGCCGATATCCCCGCCTGGGGGGGTAAATCGGCCAGCGGGGCCCAGGCCACGCCAGCGGGGATAGGGATCGGTTAAACGAGGCTCTCGTAGTCGTGGACGAACTGCGAAGGACAGTCTTTGGCACTCTTCGGCCTCGGGGGCCCGTGCCGGTCCCCGTGGCTGTCGAGCAACGGGTCGAAATATGAAGGACTGGCCCCACATGAAGAGACCTGGACCTCGGGGGAGCTACGCTGTGGAGCAAATCTCGGCGTCGGATGTCTGGAATCCCTTCCTCGGCGGAAAGAGCCACCGGAGGCAGGCGGAAACAAAAAGGTGGGTGGGTCCTCCGCCGGAGAGGCCGACGGATGCCAGCGGAAGTAAAAAACCTGTCCCCAATCTTTTTGTGTTGTTGGTTTGGCCTGTCCCCCAATAGGGTCTTCGTAGGGAGCCGAGAACGGGAATGGCTGGATGTTCAAGTCGGTCGGGCGCCGTGGTCTCCCGTGGCTCCCCGTGGCCTCCCATCATATTGGTATCGCTAGCGTGAATTACCGATCCTGAGTACAAGATCGAAGACGCCTACGGCGAATCACCGCCGCCCCCTGCCTTTTTGGAAGCGCCTATGTGGCCGAACGTTGAGGCCAGACCTGCCAAGCTATCGGACCATGTGTTCCCCGAATCGGTTTGGAAAGCCTTCGGGGAACACGTGGGCATCTTGAAGGTCATCTTGGCCGTCAGGAGGCCATTGTGACCCTTTCGGGCCTTCTTGGAGGACGTCTTGGAGGGCTTTTGGGCCGTCTTGGAGGCCATCTTGAGCGTATTGGCGTCTTGGGGGCCTCTTGGGGCCGTGCCTTGGGCCTCTTGGGCGATGTTTGGGGGCACTTGGGCCGTCTCGGGCCGTCGGAAGGCAGAACAAAAAGCAAATGCCATAATCCTTCAAAAACCCATGAGAAATCAATGATTGTGGCCTTTTCGGGCCTTCCTGGGGGCCCTCTTGGAGGCCTCTTGGGCCGTCTTGGGCCATCGTAGGGCCATGTTCGGCCGTCTTGGTGGGCTCCTGGTCCATCTGACGCCGTCGGAAGCAGTTTGGGGGGGCCTCTCTGGGCCGACTTGGGCCTCTTGGGCCGTCTGGGAGGCCTCTGGGGGGCCTATTTGGGCCGTCTTGGACTCTCTTGCGCCGTCTTGGAGGCCATCTTGGACCATCCTGGGCGGACTTGGAGGCCATCTTGGACCATCTTGGAGGCCATCTTGGGCCATCTTGGCCATCTTGGAGGCCATCTTGGAGTGTTCCCCGAATCGGTTTGGAAAGCCTTCGGGTAACACGTGGGCGTCTTGAAGGTCATCTTGGCCGTCTTGGAGGCCTCTTGGGCGAACTTTCGGCGATCTTTGGGGGCTCTTGGGCCGCCTCGGGCCGTCGGAATGCCGAAAAGAAGGAAATCTCAAAATCCGTCATAGGAGCATCAATGTTTTTGGCCTCTTCTGGCCTTCCTGGAGGCCCTCTTGGGGGCCTCTTGGGCCCTTTTGGGCCAGCTTCGAGCCAACTTCGGCCATCTTGGTGGGCTCCTGGCACGTCTGACGCCGTCGGGAGCCGTCTTGGGGGCCTTTCTGGGCCAACGGGGGACCCTCTTGGGGCGGTTCGGGGCCGTCTTGGAGGCCATCTTGGGCGTCTAGGAGGCCATCTTGGGCGTGTTGGAGGCCTCTTGGGCCGTCTTGGGGCCCTCTTGGGGCCATCTTGGAGGCCACTTGGGCCGTCATGCGGCCCTCTTGGGGGCCTCTTAGGCGATCTTGGGGGCCTCTTGGGCCGTCTTGAGCCGTCGGAATGCCGAGAAGAAGCAAATTCCAAAATCCTTCCAAAACCGAAGGGAAACATGATTTTGGCCTCTTCGGGCCCTCCTAGAGGACCTCTTGGAGGCTTCTGGGGCCGTCTGGGAGGCCTCTGGGGGGCCTCTTGGCCCGTCTGGGGCCGTCTTGGACTCTCTTGGGCCGTCTTGGAGGCCGTCTTGGACCATCTTGGGCGGACTTGGAGGCCATCTTGGACCATCTTGGAGGCCATCTTGGGCCATCTTGGCCATCTTGGAGGCCATCTTGGAGCCGTCTTGGGCAGAAAAGTAGGGAATTGATGTCCGTGGAAAAAATCCCGGGAGCCCGGCGGGACGGGCCGAAGCCCCAGGGGGAGTTCTTTTAGAAAAGGAACCAAAATTGAGAGGATCTAGCACGCCAGGCACCCCTGCGATGAATCCACAGGGGGCGGCGGATTAATGGCCTTCGGCCCATCCCGCCACCGTGCCTGGGTTGTGGGTATGAAGCCTATTGGATGTTCGTTGGGATCTCGTGGGGGGCCTTTCGGGGGCATCTTGGAAGTAGTTTGGACGCCTCTTGGGGGCCGTGTTGGAGCCTCTCGAGGTTTCTTTGGGGCGTC